TTCAGTATCTGTTTATATTTCTGAAATGAATTATTACGTACACTATTTACATTATTCGGACTATTGTCAAAAGCTGGACGACTCTTCACAGATATCTCTCCCGAGTTAGACCCTCCCCCCATAAAGGAGAACATGACTAAATACTGTGTGTACTCTATCCAGTGTAGCTGGGTAAAGAAATATAAAGGGGAGACAGGCCGCCTCTTTAAGTCAAGGCTTCAATAACACCAAAAAACTGTAACACGAGGGGAAGTAAAAAATCAGTTGTGGCTGACCACATATGGAGAGAAAATGGAGAGTACCACCCTCTGTGGGATCAAGTTAAGATCATAGACGAAGTGATAAACATGGCGACAAACATGAGGACAATATTTCGAATAATGTAAATAGTTTACACAAGTTTCTTGTTAATCAAATGTGGCTTTATGCTAAAATAATGTTTGCCCAAGATCAACGTTCCAACACGATACTGTCTTAAAGAATAAAGGTTATCTAGAGAGGAAGCGTGACGTGGTTGAATTGCAACTCTTCCTGTGGCCTAGTCATAGTCCTGACCTTAACGCATTTGAAATCTTTGTCGATAAATTACAAGCGTACCCATAATAGGAAAGTACACACAGAAGATGAGCTTTTACGTGAGTTAAAGAATTAAGGCTGTTATTAAAGCAAACGTTTACCCAACAAAATACTAAATCATTTTTGACTTGTATAATATACAGATGCACACCTGTATTAATACCCTGTATAAATAAATGAATTCTATTATTCTCTTTTCTTGTTAAAAATACAAAATTCGACTTTCTATGAGTGTGTCCATTTTTTTTTTCCTCGTCCTGTAAATTAGATTAATTAAATGTTTCTCAAAATTAATGATTCCAAGCATCGAAACTTTTTTTTTTTTAGTTTTTATTGGATTTATCTTTTAATTTGCTTTTATTTGCAATTAATATAAAATCTATTACGGAACAAATTTCATACACTAACTGGAACAACAATTATGGAAGAATGAAGGTATCTTGCACTGTAAGCAATACCCATACTCCGGGCGCCTTGTGCGAGACTATACTGATTTTAGAAAATAAATATAATCAATGAAAACAATAACAAAAACAGACAGCTGAATAATAACAGAAAGAAAATAAGTGTTGAGATTAAAATAAGATATAGTACTCAACCAATACAAATTTAATGGTTTTTCATTGGTGCAGTTACGAGACAAGAAACAAGAAAAAAAATGTTGGATTTTGAGGAATTGGAATCGTCATGCACAGTACGAATGTCTTTTTATTTGGATACAATTTTTAAAATTTCTGCAACGTTTCTGTATCTCAAAATGATTCTGGTAAATTTCAATGTTCAAAATGGACGTCTCTAAAGCTCTATCGTCCATATAACAATCCTGCATGAAGCTACAGTGTGTGTCCGTTGGTATATATAACATTCGTCCTTTTTCATCTTACAAATCGAATTAGAAGAACGTAAAAACAAAGAAGGATCTTGATTTATTAATATATATGTTTTTTCTTTTCTTATAGGACAATGGTATTGAACAAAAGATAACTATTTTGAAGACAATAAGATTCCAATGTACATCTAGGACATGCAACCATTAAGTAAATTTGAACAGTCTGTTTGGTTGTAGTCCATTAACTAATACGGTCTTAGTAAAGAATGACTTCATCCCAGTACTAGAATAAATAAAGCTCAGAGATAAATTTTGAAAATTTAATTTCGAAATTAGCAAGCGATTTGTTTAACGGTTTGACTTTTTCTTTTTAGGAGTCTCTTGGAAATCAAAAGAGAACGACAGAGATTCAAGAAGCAAAATTTGAATTCATTAAATTTATGCTCTCCATCCATTCTTCTTGTTAAGTGTTATTAACATTTCTGCCAATTTGTGAACAAATATTGTCATTTTCGCAATCTTTATTGTGATAGAATTTCACTCTTTGCAATAAATACAAATAAAATGTGATATCTCCTTTCTCTTCTAGAACATTATTGTCTTTTCAATAATATGCAAGCCGGATTACAAAAACTGTTTAAAACGTGTTCGCATCAACTGAATATTTAGCCAATGAGAACCGATTAAAATAAAATGAGGTTCTTCCTGTTTTTTGACAGTTCATATCTATTTCCGTTTAGGCGACGCTGAATTTATATTTTAACATTTCCAGCTTGCTTACACACACACACATACACATATACACACACACACACACACATACATACATATATATATATATATATATATATATATATATATATATGTAGAAATATAGTTGTTAGATATGCTATATATATGGGATAAAGTGCTCAATATCAGAGATAGAGCGCATGTAAACATAACATATAAAAGTGGAAACTTAAGTCAACACTCAGAGGTGACAGACTCTTTCAGGCCAAACGTCATCGTCAGGCCTGGCGAGAAACAGTCTGTCGCTTCTGAGTGTTGACATCAATGTTCACTTTTATATTATATTATATTATATATATATTTATATGTGTGTGTGAGCGCGTGTGTGTATTAACGTGTATTTAAGGTCTCCCCAGTAGTGAAAAATGTATGTATCCACAATTACAACGAGACGCAATTTCATTGTCAAACGGAGAAATTCATTTTCCGCGTGTGTATATTTCTTTCTAATTGATAATAAATGATTTTACACAAGTTAAAGTTTGGTTAAAATAATTTCAACATTTAATAAAGAGAGGGAAAATGGAAATAAATAAATCTTTCTTGCAAATTCCGCAATACTATAAAAAAAAAATTCTGAAGCAGAAGAAAGCCTGGCACATAATTATGGCTTCACATCTCCATTTTTCTTTTTCTTTTGTTTTCTATTTTCCCTTCTTCCTTCTTTCGTTCAGACGTTTTTAGTTCAGCGTCGGATCCGAAAGACCTGCCTCCACCTTAGACATTGTTGAGTCAAAATTGCGCCTGGTATATGAGCGTAAGCAACAACGTGTGTGACTATATATATATATATATATATATATATATATATATATATATATATATATATAGTGTAACCCGGATATAAGAGACCCTGATATAAGAGGAAACCCAGATATAAAGAGATTTTCTCTGGTCCCAAATTAGAGCCTGTGTTAATGTATATAAAATAGACCAAACCCGGATATAAGAGAAACCCGGATATAAGAGACTTCTTCTCCGGTCCCGACAACTCTCTTATATCCGGGTTACACTATATATATATATATATATATATATATATATATATATATATATATATATATATCAGGGGACACCTCAGGTGCCCCATAGCCACATTTAAGATACGCTTAGAAAATCAATATAAATCAGGGGAGACATTGTTGTTGCTACAAAAAAAATCCTAATCGGGTTAATACAGCTTGTTATTTTTTAAGTAGATATTAAATAGATAAATAGATATTTACAAATTGCTCAACTATGTCCATTTATGGATGAACACACGCACATACAAACACACACACACATATATATTAAATATGCATAACAATAATGGATGGATATTGATATATATATACAAACATATACGTATATATATATATATATATATATATATATATATATATATGGGGTGTGTGTGTGTGAATTTGTGTGTGTGTGTGTGAATTTAATGAATGTCTGTGCATATGTGGGTATGCAAAGAGTGATATCTGACAATAGAGATTTTATGTGTTTATGTAAGTAAATGAATAGCTACATTTCCTTGTTTTTATGTATTCTTTAAATTTTACACACACACACACACACATAAATACAAACCATAAATACAAACCTTTTTAGATACATATTTATGCTTATATATATATATATATATATATATATATATATATATATATATATATATATATTAAATGAACACACAAATACACACACATGCTCACATGCTCATATATATATATATATATATATATATATATATATATATATATATATATATATATATATACATATAATTTATGTCCCTTCAAAATGATCGAACCTAGGAATAATTTTATTAAAACTTTGCTGGTCTTTGTACATTTTTTGATATGCATATATTGTGCCACATACATACATACATATATATATATATATATTTGCGAATTTATCTGTTTATCGGTCCGAATTGTAAATTTGTGTATTTATGTATCATTTTTCCTATAGTAGACGTTCGCACGATTATAAAAAAATCTTTGCCCACGAAATTCCACAGTCGAGGTGCTGAATACAACATCAATTAGCTAAGTGATAAGTTTTATTTGTATTAATCTTTAAGTCTTATAGATAAAATTATTTCTATCACATGTTATATATATATATATATAACATGTGTGACAAAAATCATATATATATATATATATATATATATATATATATATATATATATATATATATATATATATATCAATATATATATATATGCTGTTCAATATATATATATATATATATATATATATATATATATATATATATATGTATATATATTGATACTATTCATATTATGTATTAATATATGTATAACAGATTATAAGATTATGCCTAAATACTCAAACAGACACGCACACACATATGCACACACACACTCACTCACATACAAAGACAGACCATAAGAAATGTTTATCGGAACTCTGCACGATTCTTTGTCTTACGAAAGCTGTTGAGTCTTCGTGATTAATTTTCAGTGAAAAGGTTCCTTTCCTTTTTCAAGTATTTGTTGCTTCTTTTTCTTTTTTTTTCTTTTTTTCTTTTTTTATATATTTCACTATTTTCTTACATCAAAAATTTGCAATTGCCTTTCCTTGCCACATTCGTATGTGTACGTACGTTATCCTTTTTTTTGTCTTTAATTGTCCGTTTAATTTGTCAATATATACAAGAACAGATTTCAAAGGGGCTCAGTGTATTTTGCTGAGGTGAGTTCCTTCCGTTGTAATTTATTTTATTGTATTTCTTCTCCCTGTTGTAGCTGTTTTTATTTTTGGTAGATCTGCTTCGGTTTCCTTGATCATCTTTCTGTGCGATTTAGGTAACTGAGGAGTATGTGTCGGTGCACTGAAAAATAAAAGAAAAAAAATCAATTCAATTATTCTGAGTAATATATTTATTAAACTTTGTTTATACTGGCACAAAGACATAAAAATGGAGAAGACTGAGGCCTTACTCGCAACACTGGACCAGCAAAACATACAAGCCATGAATCCACTGCAAATCCCCAACGATGATTGAAGGTAATTATTAAGTATGGCGTAGGTCCGTATTACCGCGATAAGAAAGATCGAACTCACTATAACTTGCTAAATGGCCTGTGAAAACAGCTTGACAACCACTACACTATGATAAAGCTATACTTAAGCGGCAAGTAGTTAAAATCAAGCGCTTTAAATTGGCGACTTGATCAGCGGGAGGAGCTTCTTAGACATTACGTTATTCGTCCCGGCGTTGATAGATTCAAAACATTTTACGCAGTTTTAAAGAGGAAGATTTATTCTCCATCTTGATGCTTTTCCCATGCAGACGTAAACCTATTGCTTCTTTGTCGTTATTTACCAGCAGATGTTTCAGTTGAGCTCTATTCCTTAATTCCAATCAGTTTAAATATTAACAGATAGCACTTTTTAATCAATTCACCGCAATGCCACTAAGACTCAAGTGGCTCCAGGAAGTGAAATAGAAGAAAAAATCTTTAGAAGTAACCGGAAACCCAATCTTAAACAGGAAACAAAGGATAAACCGTCTAATCCGAACAGGAAGGAGTGTGAACCGGACGATCTGTGAACATATCTACCTCTGCTACTTCCACAGTGTCGAATCACCCTAATTTCCTGTAAGGGGAAATTTCCACTCAGACAGCATGTTACCCAAAGCAGCAACTTTGTGGAACGGACTCCAGCGTTTTTCTATAATCTTAACCATTTCGGGGCAATTGTTATATATTCTCTTTTTCCTAATAATTTTAACTTCCTACCATCTCTTCTTTCACTCTTTTCTCACACCTCATTTTTCATTACAATTTTAACAGTAATCCTCTACCTGTAGTGGCTTTCGTGCCTTGCATTGGTTGAACACTAGTATAAAAATAATTAAGCCTAATTAATTTGACACCAGTTTACACTGGTTGGAGGCCCAGTTAAAATTAAGCACACACTATTAGCAAAACAAATATAGTAACTATTAAGCTGCGACAAGGGTACAAAGAGGCTTTATTGTGCAACTTAGTTGGCCGTTGGCACATAACAGCCGAACACTCAGAGAAGACCAAACGCTATTTAAGCTTGCTAAATATCCTGTGAGACCAGCTTGTTAACTACTGTGCTATGGTAAGAGACCCGTTGGAAAGATCAAACATTTTACATTGGTAATTTAAACAGTGAGAGGAGCTTGCTAACTATTACACTAAATTAAATGAATTAATTAAAATTATTTAGTTGATACAAGGCTACATTAATTGGTAGCCCATTTAAAATTAAATGCATAAAATTCGTAAATTAATCTGCAAGATTTGCTTGCTAAGTTTTGTCGTTCGATCGGCACCTCGGGGTTTCTCTTGATTTTTTTAAAAATTATTTATTCTCCATCTTTCGACGAGATATTGTAAGGATTTAGAATTCGTCCTCTCAGGGCTAATTTCCTCGTCTTTGTTGTACTTTTAGCACAATTTTCCGTCTTCTGTTTTCTCCATTCTCTTCGGGTATATGTTTTATCATGAAATGACAAAGTTTGTTCTGGTGCGTCATATATGGAAAGTAACGCGCATGCGCCATCATTACAGACGGCGTATTTTTTTTTCTATATTCTCCTAAATGAACCGGCTAAGGACCTTAACATTTAATCAGATCATTGAAAGACTTTGCTTCCTATTAAACCATTAAATGTAATGAAATGATTCAAAAATCTTTTCGCGAAGAAATCTAAAATATTTCCAAAAAGGATAAAGGTTTTATAGTGGGTTTTAACACTTGCTTTTGACATTTGTTAAATTTGAACAGATTTTTATTCCATTTCCAAAATCTAGCCAATTAATCTTAACAAAAAAAAAGTAGTATAACAATGGATAAAATTAATTCAGATGACCAATTTGATATTACAATGGGATCTTTAGATTCTACTGAGTTTTCCGACCTCTGTTGATTTTTCATTATATACAACCTTACTGCCCACTATGACATCAATATTGAGGATATAGGATTATATAGGGATGATGGCCTTATGGTTGCGAGGAATTCTACTAATTTCAAAACTGGCAAAATTAGAAAATTAATATATAGAGTGTTTAAAAACCTAAGCCTAAAAGTTACAATCAATGCAAATTTTAAAAAAAGGTAAACTTCATGGATGTAGAACTGGACTAGTCAACAATATATACAAGCCATGCATGAAAACTAATACTAATCCATTACATATCCACCCAAAATCTAATCACTCTCCATCTATAATTATACACATACCCTCCTCCATTGAATATAGAATCAGTAATAACTCTGCCAACCAAAATGCATTTTATAAACACAAGTTTTACAATAATGCCTTTAAAATAGTGGCTATCAATACGCTGATATTAAATATAGAAAACATAATTCCGATAGCCGATACAAAAATAGTAATAGAAAAACCTATGGTACACACTCCCATTTAACCAAATGGTTAGTTAGCGCAGAAGTTTCTCACTTTGATTAAGAAGCATTCCCAAGTAATAATCCTCTACGCAAGATTTTTAATAAAAAATACGTTTAAATTAAGTTACAGTTGTACTGATAACCTCGAAAAAAATTATTAAAAACATACTAACAAAATTTTAAATCAATTCGTAAACCATAGTCACTATAGTAATTCCAAAACAGAAATCAATGATTATAATAAATTAAGGAACTGTAGAAATCCTAACAATTGTCCATTGCAAAATAAATATCTTACAGAATGAATTGTTTACCAATGTACCATTTCATCTACTGAAAACCGAGCTGTTGAGAAATTTTATATTGGTAGTACAAAACCCCCTTTAAACAAAGATAGCATCAGCATATATTTTCTTTTAACAATAATGCGTACCGTAAACGAGCATCCCTTTCTAAATATTTTTGTCATTTAAAAGTAATTAATAAAACCATTACAGTAAAAATGGAAAATATTGAAAAAACGAGAATTTGTAAATCCTTAAATGACCCATGTCAACTATGTTTACATGAAAACCACCATATTATAAAGTTTCCTAAAAATAATGTTCTCCTTAATCAGAGAAGTGAATTAACAGTAATTTATAGACATTGTATAATGTTTACTTTAAAATATAGTCAAAAGAATTTTTACTTAAAAAAATATATGCATTACAATTATATATCCATTATTTTATTAATATATAATGGCCCACATAATATTTATTTAATTTTTTTGATTTTTCAATTTTAATATTGGCATGTCTCAGTACCAATATGTATCGTTTTTAAGGTTTCATTATAAATTTTTAAAAAGCTTTAATTAAATTAGAGGCCCCTTGAAGAAAGTTCATTTATAAAAAGTTGTAACTCCTCATAAATAACTTTTTGTATAATATAATTCCATGTCTACTTAACTGTATCTTAGCCTTAGTTTTGCAACAATATGTATACGGTAGACATGGCTAAAGTGTCATTTCATGTACACTTGAGGAAATAACGTACCTACCAACACCTTCTGACCTTATTTTCTATTTTTCTATTTTAATTTTGATCCGTATTTTGAGTGGTTAATCACGACTTACTCACAAATGTGTTTTTAATTTTGAATGTTTGGTCTTCTCTCTCCTTTTTAACTCCCAATAAGCTACAGATTTCTTCCCTGATTTCCCAAGTAAATCATTTTCATCATACGCTATTAACATTACCTGACGAGGGACAATTTTTACAGTTCCGAAACACGGAAATTTTTGAGTAGCGATGTAAAATATTATAATAAATATATTATAATAATAATTCGCTCTACGGCGTATTGAGCACTTTAAAAAAAAGAAAATGCTAAAAACAGTGAATTCTTAATCTGTCTGTTTTTTATATATATATATATATATATATATATATATATATTTATTAGGAAAACATGTCAAAATCGCTATACAATTGCAGTCTAGTTTCCTTGTTTCAATGCGCATTATTGAATCTCATCAGGCAATTGTAAATTACTGGCAAGTGAACGATTTATTTAGATTTAAAATACAACCTCTTTTTACAAAAAAAGAAAAAAGAAAAAGGAGGTTATAAGTTTTGTGGGGCTTATTCTGATCAACCAATCAAATGTGATCTACGTTAAATTTGAACTATGCGAAGAAGCAAAAATTTTATAAAATATTTTTAGAAAAAGGCATGACACGTAGATTGGCAGCTAACGGCAGCCAGACTTAAACAGGAGCGAATGTGAATGATACATAAATTATACAAATTAGACAATGCCATTTCCTAAGAAATAAAAATGGGCTGAGGAGGTAATTTAACAAAATGCTAAACAAGTTATATGCTTTTTGAGTTTCATACATATTTTTTTTTTATAGTTGATAAATAGCTTCTTTAAGAAACTAATAAATAATATAAACGTATAGAATCATTTGGTAAATTAATATGTAACTGTTGACTAAAGATTCTTCATAGAAGATGTTAATAACAATAACCAATCAATACAAAATGTCAAAAATACCAGCCAGATACCAATACATCCGTACAAGATGTTACTATTACTACCAGGAGGTTAATAAAGAATTATATCCAAATTAATCCTACATATAAAAAGATTAGCCATATATGGTGCAACGCATTACAACTAATATATAAGAAAAAGCATAATCAAATTCCTAAGTTTAACTAAATTGTAAGGTAAAAAGTAAATTATGTTTGTAATTTACTGTTAATTAATTCATTTGATTTAATAAGAAAATTTATTGAATCTGATAATTTCCAATGTTTCATATAATCACAGAAAACAGGGTTCATATAAAGAGCTACATGTTCTTGACGTTTTTAAATTTTCCACTTCACCTTTCTTTCTATTCTTTTTATGTGGCATGTCCTTTCAGGACCTAGGCGATCATGGCTCTCTACATCCTTCTATCCCTTGCAGCTCTCAACAAGTTCCTTCCCTCTGCTTCCTGTCCCAGACTACGTTCTGTCATTCCCCTCCTCAAGCTCGACAGGTATGTCACGCGCTGCTTTCCCTTGTCTCTCTTTCCCTCTATTCGCCCCGTGAGTATCAGATTCTCCAGGCCCTCCTTCCTTATTATGTGTCCCAGAAACTTCAGCTGCCTCTTCCTGATGTTAAATATAAGCCTTCTCCTTGTTTGCAACCTCTCTTAGACATGATCGTTGCTCACACGCCCGGACCATATCCTTAGCATCCTTCTGTAGAACCATATCTCTGTTGCCTCGAGTCTCTTTTTCATTTTTGAGGAAATCGTCCAATATTCGCTGCCGTAAAGAGAGATAGATATCACATAACATATCAGTATTCTTTTCTAAGTCACCAAAGAAATCCTTCTGTCTCGCAATACTCTGCCCAGCTTTTGGAATGTGTACTTGGCCGTCCCACGTCTACGGATCTCAAAGTCGCACTTACCGTCCTCTGTCTAGACGCTTCTAGATATTTAAACTTCCGCGTCTGCTTGATTCTAGTGTTCTCAACCTTCGGATCACATTTCGGGCCCTTCCTGTTGCAGATGACAATGCATTCTGTCTTCTTGTAGTTTATGCATAGTCCTTTCTTCTCACTCTCCGTCGCTACATTCTGTAGGAGATTTTGTAATTTCTGTTCTGTGTCTTCTATCATTACTATGTCATCTGCGTATCTTATGTGTTAAGGTTGTGGCCGCCAATGCTAAATCCCCGTAGGGTTTCCAATTCCCTCGGAACTGACTCGCTGTATACGTTGAACAAGTCGGGTAAGAAGACGCATCCTTGCCTTACGCCCCTTTCTATTTTTGTATATTCACTGAACTCGTTCCCTATGCGTATGTATGCTGTTTGCTGCCAGTATAGGTTCTTGATTATTCTGTTATCTTTCCCGAATATATCGAGGTTGCTGAGCAGTTCCATCAGATCCTTGTGGCGTACTTTGTCAAAGGCCTTTGCGTAGTCTGTGAAACATAGGTACATGTCCTTCTGCATCTGTATCGCTCTTTCTTATAACATTCGGTACATGGATATCGCGTTCCTTGTTCCGGCGTCTTTAACGAACCCGCACTGTTCTTATCCTATCTCTGGCCTGATTCTGCTACACGCTGTATTCAATAGAAGACGGATGAGGAGTTTTGTCACGTGGCTCATTAAGCTTATTGTTTGATGGAGTTTGCATTAGTTTGCATCTGGTTTCTTAGGCATAGCTATGAAGAGAGATATGCTGAGATCTTCCGGTATATCCCTGCTCATGTAGATTTCATTTGTTATTTTGGTGATCTTGTCTATGCCAAAGTCATCTAAGGCCATCAGCATTTCCGTTACAATTACGTCTGGCCCAGCTGCCTTGTTTCTGTTCAATTTGGCCAGTGCGATTTTTTCTTCAGTTTTCAGAATTCCAGGTCCATCGATAGTTCTGTGTATTGCTGGTTGTTCCCCTTTGTCGTGGAAGATTTCTCCAATATACTCGCTCCAGTGTTGAAGAATGTTTTCCTTCTCTAATATGAGCGTTCCATCTTTTGATTTTAGGCGGCTTGTTGATAAGCATCTCTTCCGTCCTGTTGTCATATTTGTTTGTGCATGTCTCTTTTTTTGGTAGCAATTAATTTTTCTATTTCTGCACATTTTTCATTTAGCCATTCTTCTTTAGCTTGCCTGCATTTGGTCCTTATTTCATTGTATAATTTTCTGTACTCCGTTTCGTATTTTGGCAAGGTTTTCTCACTTCTTTTCATTATGTCAAGAATCTCATCAGTCATCCAATCGTTTTTCCTTCTTCGTCCTGTCTCCTTCGGGATGATATTTCTGATATCACGAAAGCGTCTCTTAGTGCGTCCCATTTTGATTTTCCATTGTGTGCCTCGTGTCTTCTCTTCACATTGTTCATATATTTTTCTTTTAGGTTATGATCGCTCAGGAGTTTGTTGTATTGCAGTTTGGGTGCTTCAAATTCCGTAGTTTTACTCCTAGTTTACATATAATCGGGCGATGATCGCTTCCACAGTCGGCACTTGGGTAGGTTTTGCAATGAATCATTGAATTCTCGAATCTTTTGTTGATGGTTATATAATCAATTTGGTTTTTAGTTTCTCCTTCTGGACTCCTCCATGTCCATAGTCGTTTCGGATGTTCTTGGAAGCATGTGTTGGCTATTACCTGGCCATTGGCTGTGCACCATTGGATCCATTTTTCTCAGTGTTCATTGCGGGTTCCTAGTCCGAAACTACCTGCTATATCCCCCCTGCCCTTTCCCTGCCTACTTTGGCGTTTAGGTCTCCCATGATAATAATTATTTCCTGTGATTTGCATAGAGCATTGGCACTGTCCTGAAGGGATTAGAAAGATTCGATGCCTTCCTCCTTGCTTTGTGCCGTCGGGGCGTACAATACTAAAATAGCCACGTTGAACGGCTTCCCTTTCAGCTTCACTACCAGAATTCTTTCAGAAAGTTGGTGGTATCCTAAAACGAATTTCTGAAATGTACTGTCTAGTATTAGTCCTAATCCTTTGTCATTCTTCTCGCCACCTGCATTAATTATCCTTTGCTTGTCGCTGACAAATTACCGTTGTTTGTCCATCTGGTTTCACATACACCTAGAATGTTGATATTAAGTCTGTTCATCTCTTGTTTAACATTATCAAATTGGCCGCAGTTGTTCAATGTTCGGACTTTCCATGTCCCGAGAGTTATTTTGTGTTTGATGCGAGCAGTCGCAGGATAACTGTCCGGTGACACCTGTCGCTCATGTCGTTCGTTTCCAGGCGAGGTATAGGTCCCGAGGAATTTTATACCTTTTACGCCGTTTATGTTAGCAGTTGCTGAATGACGGTCAAGTAACACTGTTGCGCATGTCGGTCCTTACCGGGCGAGGACCTAATTCCCATAGACTTAACCCCCTTCACGCCGTTAGGTTTCATATAATCCGAGTTGTTAGATGTACTTATTACCATCTTTTAAACTGCAAAAATATTTAGAAAGTGATGTATTATTTCTGTACGTAATATTGCTGAAGAACAAGCTATGTTGATAACATCTAGTCTGGAAAGAATTCTTAGTACTACCAATATAGAATTTTTCAACCATCCTCTATTGTAGAGAATGTTTATCTTTGTACCATTTCTACAATAGAGAAATTCGACGGTTGAAAAAGCCATATATGGTGCAACGCAGTACAACTAATATATATATATATATATATATATATATATATATATATATATATATATATATATATATATGCTTAATATTATGTCTTTTACAATTTACCAAACAAATAGATGATAATAAAACATTGCCTAAAATTGAACGTCGCATATAGATAGAAAGACTTACGATGTTGACAGGAATGTCCCCAGTGCGTTGGTGGGCACACACATTTCCCTTTCTTACATCGACCTCCGTTAAAACATGGCATGTGACAATCATGTTTGCGTTTACAATAGCGTCCCGTATATCCAGGCTTGCATTGACATTTGCCTGGTTGGATACAAATGGCCGTCACAGGACAACGTGGTTCGCAAATGGCTACAAAAAGGAATGAGTATCATATTAAATTCATCAAAAACAAAGAATGTAAATTGCAAAAGTTTCATTATATCTTTAACACAGAAGCAATTGAAAGAAAGAATAAACATTGAAAATGTCAGGGCAAAGAGTAGTTCGGACAACGTTTGTTTCGCACTATTTTACTGCTTTCTGCCTGAATTCAGTCTCATAAGAAAAGAAATTCTCCACGCCATTTTTTTTTTTAGAGAAGAACAAATGAGAAAATGTGAAGAAAGCTGTAGAATGTGTTGGTTGAATCATTATTTTGGCAGCAAAGTTGACTTCATCAGGAATTTTTCCTGTGCATATCAAATTATTATTATTATTTTTAATTCTGAAATATTCCATTTATTTTTCTATTAAAGTTGGTAAAATGCATGTTTCTCTGCCTCTATTTCGATAGATAGATAATTAGATATGAACAGACTGGGATAGATCGATAGATAGATAGATAGATAGATAGATAGATAGATAGATAGATAATGAACAGTCTGTTTTAATTGATTGATTTCTTTTTTTAAAGATTTATCAATTAATCTTTTTTGTTATTTAAGGACGAAACATATTTTGTATAGTAAGAATGTTTATTTTTTTGCGAGTGAATATGGATCAATAATTTTAGACTATCAATGATTTTTCCAGTACAAGTCCCACAATCTATAGCTGGAAGGAAGAGTCCGATTCAAACTTTTCCCAAGGGTATTTGCGCGTCAGTGAATGTACCGAACTTGACTGGGATATTCTGCTACATACAGTGAGAGATAGAGAGAGAGAAAAGCAGAGAGAGGAAGAGTTGAGGAAATATTTGTTAAATAATAAACACTTAACCAGATTAATCATCAATATCTTCGATTATTATTTTGTGTCTTTTACTTGTGTTATTCTGTTTGTGATGTTCTGGGCAATTGTGAGAGAATTCAATTGGAATTAAAAAGATCGAAATTCCAGTATCTATCTATATTTCTGAGATGAGGTATTATGTACACTATTTACATTATTCGGACTATTGTCCTCATCTTTGTCGCCACATTTATTACAACGTTTCGGCCCTTGAGTATCTGTCTATATTTCTGAGATGAGGTATTATGTACACTATTTACATTATTCGGACTATTGTCCTCATCTTTGTCACCATATTTATTACAACGTTTCGGCCGTTGTACGATCCGGCCTTCTTCAGTTGGTTGGAATGTCAAACTGAACCCTTTACACCTTGGCACGTGGAAACAGCCTACCCCAGTGAGCGAAATAAAGGGTTCCGTTCAACATTCCGACCCCCTGAAGAAGGCCGGAGCGTACAACAGCCGAAACGTTATTTATAAATATTATAAATGTAAATAGTGTATCGAAATTCCAGTCCAAAATTGATATTTAACAAAGCTTCATCAGAGAAAATCAGAAAACTTAAAAATAAATTGCATGCAAAAGAAGAGAAAGAAGATGAATGACCGGTGAATAACAACTGCCAATGTTTCATTATAGGGCTGAAGATAGAGTCTCGGGCCCTTATCCCAGAAACTTTGATTCGGGGCGCTGCTCTCTACGACGTGCCGATTTCGAGTTTCCCACACTGGGTGCCAGAACCAAGATTGGGGTAAAGGCAGCGTTTTTTTTTTTAAATTACCAAAAATCAAGTAATTAACCAATATAAATGAATTTTCAGTACATATTCCTTAATTATTTACTTTTATAATGAATAAGTTTGCTTGTTTTTATTTTTTTAAATATGAGAAAATGTTATTCTTTTTGTAATAACCATTAATATTTTCATGACTAAAATTTACTCGAAAAAATATAAAAATCGCAAACTTTTACATTTCCATAAACATTAATCGCCAACACCTCTCTCCGCTGAAAAAGTTTTACACAGATTCCAACACAACTCAAACGGGATTGTCATAAAAATTTGTTTTACAAACAGTATTTCAGCTTTCGGGAAACTTTTTCATATGTTGAATTCTTTAAATATTTTTTATTTTTTAAGCAATCATTTTTTTCGGTTTTATCTTTCTAGATATGTAAAAAATATGGACTAGAAATTTTATTTTAATTACTAGCCAAGGACTTCTGGTTAGTATTACTATTAGTAAAATAATCTCGGAATAAAAAATGATTTTACCACGATATATTACCCTCTTAATTGATTTAAAAGCACTGTTCAGAAGAAAAATTACCGAATTAGCACTTTTGCCTCCACCACCTTACCAGTAGGCATGGGCACCCAAGGGGGTTGAGACGTTTGGGGTAGTAAGCAGCACTCTGTCGATTATTATAGTACATGTCAATACAACTTCGGTAGAAAAAAAGTAAAAAGTACAAAAGGCAAAAACTCGCTGCTGAAAATAGCTCCTTTGAGAGTCCGTCGACATTGTTTACTGCGTAGGTCATGTAGATATACGATGTATATTATTACGTGATGACTTTACTGAGACAGATCGGTGGGGGGGCGCCTTTTGGGGCTCATTAAATAATAAAAAAAATATTCTTACGATTTTGACAGTTTGCTCCTTTGTAGTCGGGAAGACATTTGCACCGATTGAAACCAACACATACTCCTCCATTTTGACAAGAATGTTCACATTTTGGTCGAACTGATTTCACTGAAGAAACAAAGAAAGATTCAGTTATATTTTGTGTATATAAAAGCTTGAGCCATGAGGAAAAAAATCAACGACACAAATTGGAAATTACTCTGAAACTGATTCCAAGCTTGGGCCGTAAAAATATCAAAACGAAAATGTCAATGAAATATAATAGAAAATATATTGACAGAAAGCATTTTCGTGTGTATACATAGATTTATTTTTAGTCCAAAATTTATATTATTTTAAAAGTTATCATACTAGACACTTCGTATTTGAAATAGACGTCCTATTTGTATTTATTAAACAGTGTGTAGTAGGTCTATCGGCCTACGCATTCGAGAAATCCTAAAGAAAAGGTGTTGTCCGGAAGGGATCGAACGCAGCAGTAAACAAAACTCTTTTTCTCTTTTTAAAGAAAGCACATTCTTTTCATCTAGATTGTTTTTCACCCAGATTATTTTTCACCTAGATTATTTTTCTCGAAAGCCCATAGGTGGTCAGTTTCGGATCTAAAATTGTAAACAAAAAAGCTGGTTCGATTCCTGTTCATTATAATAGCAAGTGAAGTAATACATATAATATATATATATATATATATATATATATATATATATATATATATATATATACATATATAATATATATATATATATATATATATATATTTACAGACACACCCCACATATATATATATTTGTGTGTGTGTGCGTATGTGTGTTTATATATGTGTGTGAGTCTGTGTGTTTATGTGTTTGTGTGTGTAATACAGATCTTTAGATACAAGGTAGAGGGTTAATGGATAAGGTTTTTGTATAAGAGTAAAGAGAGGAAGTAAGAAGTGCTTATTATGGGCATATTCGGGATACATAACGGTTGGGACTAGTCTTGAACAGGTTAAGATCATAGTGATCGGGGAAGCATCCTGTACGGAGTAAGTTACGGGGAAGAAGTGTCTGACAAAAGAAAAATTCAAAGCGTGTAAATTTAAAATCTTAAAAAAACAAAGTATAGAAATATAGGGGTTATAAAAAATTCATCTGAAGATTACATTTTTGGAAAATATTTCCTTTTTGCTTAAGACAGAGTGAACAATATATATGTATATATTTTTAAAGCGGATGCTTATTAGTTGTCAGATCAGTGCAAATGTCAAATGACTATTGCGTTAACTTACCAGTGTCTGTAGGAAGGGCTAAATGATTTTACTTTTAATGCCATGTCCTTTCAAGATGTAGTCGATAAGATTCCTTTTCTTTATGAACATTTTTTTAATCAATTCAGCCCAAGCAAGGCGATAATGCCACTAAGATACTACTCGGAGTAAAAGAGACTGAAAAGACTTTAGAAAGAACTGGAAGCCCAATCATGAACAAGAAACAATGGATATAACATCTACTGTTCAAAAGATGAATAACCATGTATTTTTGGAAAACATAGTGGGGAGCTTTCCTGTTACCTTCTCTATGGTTTGGCATTCAGAGATTCCCTTCTCAGACCGAGTGCCGCCAAGCCTGGAGAACTCAGTATACCCTGCCATTTAATCCCTATCTAGGGTGGGGGAGAACAACATTTCATGAGAGTATTTGTGAGAAAGTGAGTGCAACTACTAGCGTCAAATTTGATGATTCCACTTTACGTGTCGATATCCGTTACACTACCACACATCCAGTATGGATTATTAAAAAAATGACAAAACGTGGCTTTATACACAATTAGAAAGCCGTCCTGGGTATGACAATAAACTACATCCGTGTCCTGGGTAAGACAATAAACTTCGTCCAACAGCAAAGCCTGTTATCAGGAGGTTTTGAGGATCGTGGAACCACCTCTTAATTGCTAGCGTTCTCAGGTCCACCCTAACACGGGGTGCTAGCACCTGTTAGGGTCCCAGCTATGGGCAAATAGTTCACACCCAAAATTGTGTAAAAATAAAAACAGGTTTTAATACCAGAAATACTTTGTAATAAAAAATATTACCAGCAATAATTTTTGAAGGAAAAATTATTATCAGCAATATTTTAAAAGAAAAAGTACCAGCAATACAAACAGCTATACATTCTTTGAAAAAAATATGACCAGCTATAGATTCCTTCAAGGAAAAATATTCCCAGAAATAGATTTTTGAAGAAAAACATATTACCAGCAATAAAAATTTTGTCGACATTAAATAACACATTCAGGTTGATATGCCGTAAAACAAACCAAACCAAACCAAACAATTAAAAATTATATTCCTAACAATCGACAGTTTTTCATTTGACAAGCAACACTTAAATTTTATATAATTCTCGTAAGCATCTAAGTCAGCTGACTAACAACCAAACTTATAGAGAATGTTTTTTTTCTTTTTGGTTCTTTTATAATGAGGAACAGAAAGATTTTAACAGAAAAGATAATTGATTAAGTTGATCTTGATCCTTTCTTAGCGTATGAGATTCACTAAGTTTTACTATTTCTAATAAAGTCTCCAGCTTGAAAATCAAGATGTATATTTTAGCCACGTTTTCTCTAGATTATTAAATAAAGATTCTTCTTTGAAGAAAATCCTATCTATTTAATGACGTTCATTAAACAAAAGATTTGTTTGGAAACTGAGTTATTGTTGAGCAGATTAAAGAATAAAAGCTCTTGTTTGAATGTAACTGTGTTAAATTTGTCTCGATGTTTATAGGGCTTTGACATGCATGTCAATATTCACACCGGAGTTACCTCTCTTTCGCTTGCAACACAAGACTCCTGTCGTATATCCGGCCATATATGAACAACCTCTGGTTTTTCTTGGATGATAAACATCGATTCTACCTTTGGCCAAGCAGGAACTCTTAGAATAACGTAAGCGTCTGCAATTCCTTCCAATGCCGGCCATGTTTTCTTTGTGACATCTGTAAAAAATATGGAAACATAGAAGTAGTATTTTTTCGCAATGAATAATTATCATCAGTAAAAGAAAATGGATTTACTTATAACCTTGAATAGAAAACATTTGCTTGTATTAAGTTACATCCTATTGGATAGTTAATCATTGCCTGGAAATGTGGTGTACTTAGACATGGATCTTTTTTAGGCTAATCTGACAAACTATACTGGTTTGAGTTGGGTCATCACTAGGTGCTCCTTACTTTTAGTTTCCATTATATTAAGCTAAGCCTGATAAATACCTTTTTTGATAAAAACGTTTAGTCTCTTTTAGTTAATCTATATTAAAATGTTTTATAAAATTACGGCGTCACCAAATTTTGAAAGCTACTATGTAACCCTACACACAAACATTGGGTTATATCTGGAAAGCATATTATAATGTTTAATCATCAAGGCTATCTTTCAAACAAACAATATGGCCTTCGCTTCACTAGGTCAAATGCTGAAGTACTATTATTAAATTGATACGATTATTGAGGAAAAAGTCTATCAAGCTTTAGATAAAACTAGTGAAGCATGGGGTGTTCCTTTGGACATCTCAAAAGCGTTTGACTGGGTTTGGCATACCGGTCTTCGTCATAAGTTGAAAGTCTATGGTATTTGCGGGCGTATTTTTTTATCTGATTCAGTCTTTCTTATTGAAGTGCGGAATAAAAGTTGTCCTGAACGACTGCAAGCACTTTACCCTTAAACCTATTTTGTTCTTAATTTCCATCAATGACCTTCATGATGCCACCAGTTTTCAACTTGATATCAATTCTGATGACACAATCATTTAGTCCTGTTCCGACAGTAAGTCTCCCCAGTTCGATCTAAAGTCAAATCTGCTGATCTCTAGAATGACCTACGGTCTGTTATTAACTGAAGCAAACAATGACTTGTTAATTTTATCGCCTCCAAAACGAAACTTCACTGCCAATCATCTGAAATTCTCCTTCCTGTCTCCTATCAGTATGGCTGATGCTAACTTCCGCTTTTCGGGATTACACTCTTGTGACATGAAATGGAAAGATTATATTGAATCCATTGATAAGTCTGCTGATAAGAAAGTTGGTTCACTGTGTTGAGCTAGAAAATTTTTCTCTACTTGATCTATTGGCGGCAAGGTCTCATCAATTTACAGTTGGAATGGCTAGAAGTAACCGTAAGTTCTATGCTAAGAGTTTCTTTTCTTGCACTTCTCGCTTGTGGAACTCTCTTCTGGCTCCATACTTTCCAGCTAAATTTGATCTTCAAAAATTTAAATGCAATGTCAATCGTTATCTATACTCTTGATTACTCTTTCTATTAATGTTTCTCTTTTTTCTTTTTCTTTCATATTCAGTAATACCCTTGTGTCTTAGTGGCTTTAATGCCTTGCATAGAGTGATGTGATTAAAAAAAAGGCGTCATATTCTTGCAGCCTATAAGGTAAACTTATAAAATTTAATATCTTTTGTCTGTGTTCCGTGCCCTTTTAAGATGTAGACTATTAACGGCTCACCACAACTTCCTGTCATTTGTGACTATTACTAAGGTGTGTATTTTTGCTATCTCACCTAACTCCTGTTCTGCCAATCATTTATACAAACTCGCTAGTTAAATTATTCGCTGCTTTCCTCTGTCATTCTTGCCTACAATATGTCATGTGAGTGTCAAACTTTCCAAGCATTCTTTCTCATGCAAGCTAGAAATGTCATTTGTCTCTTTCTGAATATATCAACGTTCCTTTTGCTTCCATTTTCCTTAAATTTTCGTCTTTGCTTACGTTCAGTCCATGGTATACTCAGCATCCTTCTGTAGAACCAAATTTTTGTTGTTTCAAGTTTCTTCATCTATGAAGAGATTGCCCAGCATATTGCTGCAATATAGGAGGACTGATATTACATAAGAGTTCAGTACACTTTTCTTTTTTTCTAATTTAATTTTCGTATTTCTTAATGCATTGCTTAGCTTTTGAAATGCGTCTTTCACTATTCTATTCGATATCGCATTAAAAGACTTTATAGATATTTAATTTTGTTGCACTTGCTTCATTTTCTTTTTGACTCCGATTTGGAGTTCGCATCTTGTGTTGTTTCATTTGATGTCATCCAAACATCCTATTTTCTTACAATTGATGTTTAGTCCTTTCTTCACGCTTTCCTTTACTACCTTCTGTAGAAGTTCCTGTAGTTTTCTTTCTATACTTGCTATTAAAAGTGGAATTAACACACGAAAATAAAATAAATAATATCTTTTTTATTATCTGTTAATTCCAACTGATAGCGTTTTAATACTCAACCGCTACCGTAAGTTAACCATTAAAAATGACCTCATAAATTTTATTCCCGTCACAATAACATAAAATCTGGCATAATCATAGGTTTTTAATTAAGAACTCTTAAAATCTGTAACCTAAAATATAATATGCTCGATGAAGATTAACACTCTGAAAATTATTTTAAGATCCTCTACTAACCCAGGTATTTTATATATAATGGTAAACAAAAAGTATAGAAGATCAACAGAACCAAGAAAGAAATTCTAAATAAAAAATAGGCACTTCTGAGGCTGAACTTAAGGCCAGATGGTAGACAAAATAGGCATGTCGATTTCGATTAGCTGAGTAAACGTGGTAATGTTAGAGAAAGTGTTTTCATTGAGTTAGGTTTTTACACGTTATGCACATTAGACGTGGTTATTTCGTGTCTCTGGGAGCTTGCTCCTCACTGGGTGTGATAGAACGAACCCACTGGCTAATTTAAACTGTACACGTCAATGTGTTAATAAAATAGATAAGTTTAAAATTCCTTTTGTTGATGTTCTCATTTTCTCTCCGAATTCTTCAAATAAACTAACTAGCGATCACCCGGGTGAGAGAAGAAAGAGAAGACAACTTTATTTTGATCGCCTCCGTCAACCATAAGACCTTCCCAGAAGAGTGGGGTATGCAAAATGACATGCTATGTCGCAATGGCATATAAACTTGAAACACAGTTATGATCAGACACACAATATGGTTCGAGTGTTTCACAAACCAGAAGAAATACAGAAAAAATATAATTATAAATTAAGCGGAAAATTTGCGAGATAACCAACATTTTTCTTCATAACTGATTTCTAAGGTTATTGCATTTATTTAATTTTTTTTTTTTTTTGCCTATCAACTATTTTGCGTCGGTTGAGCATGAATTCAAATCTGGGGCGTTCTTTCCATGTAGCACTCAATTCTGGCATCCTCCAAAGATTCAAGACTGACGTAATTGTAAAGAGCCCGCCCGTTGAGAGAGAAAAAGAGAGAGAGAAAAATAGAGAGAGAGAAAAAGGGAGAAAATATAAATAAAGAAGAGATAAAGGGACAAATAAAGAGAAAGTGAGAGAGAAAGAGAGAGAGTAAAGAGAGAAAGAGCAAGGACGATAAATTTTGAGCAAATTCTCTTCTCGTCTCGCTAATTTAAGTCGGTGTTTTTAATAAGTATGTTTTTTTTTGTTATAAATATTCTCAGAATTCTTCACACCTGTATAACATTTCTAGCACACCTGCGCTCCTGTCGATATTTTTTTGTTACTCCTTTCGTTCCACCCATAAAGGATATATGGATATATTTCATAAATAAATATTGTTTCTCAGTATTATTGGACGCCCAACAGAGACATACTGGTCCTCCTACCTCTCTATAGAGATGGAAACACAGGCACGTATAAAACGTATACACTGACGCTCATTTATACACTAATGTCAATACTGAAAACCAATATATATATATATATATATATATATATATATATATATATATATATATATATATTTCTGATATTCATAGGAAGAAGTACTCAGTGTGACAGATAGTGCGTTTGTAAATGTAGACTGTCAGTTTCATGAGGCCTAAAGCCATCTCTACTCCTTTTACAGGCTCCCGCTACATATATAATCATCTTTCCAGAATAATATAAACTACTAAAGACCGAGCTCATTTCAAAATGCAAATACGAAAAGAAATTCCTACTACGCTAAGTACAATCGCACCAACACTGAGAAAACAAAATGACACCCCTAACCTAAATATTTTAAATACCAAAATTTCGAAACGATGATATTAATTAAATAATAAATAAATAAAATAATTGGATTGCAATAGTAAATAAAAGAAGTATATATATATATATATATATATATATATATATATATATATATATATATATAAGATAATATATATATAGCGGAGGAATCTTATTTTTAAATAAATAATTATATTTAGGTTTTACTTTTGTATCGAGTACTATTTTTAAAAATAAAACAAAAATACTAAAAGAACTTCGGATTATTTACCTAACTAATTCTTTCCTATTTTCTATATATTTTCTCATATATATATATATATATATATATATATATATATATATATATATATATATATATATATATATATATATTGTAGAGAGAAACAAAGACTGTGCTGATTGCGTCATGTTGCCCTTTTACTCCCGCACGGTGCCCAACTGACCCTATTATACTCTACCGTCGACAAAATCAAAAAATAAACAACGCGTATTAAAAATATAAACTGGTGATAACTCGCACCATATATATATATATATAGCCATATGAAACATAATTAAACATTTGAAGTTTTCATTTCTACTTTAACTGTACCATTATAGAAATTAGAATTTAAAAAAAAGTTTTTTTGATGCTCGCAAAATCGCATAGTATTTCACTCCAAATTTAGTAAAAGAAAAGAAAGGATATATTAAAATATTCCGATCATATATTAATAATCGTAAGTGAAATAGAAAATAAATAAGTTTAATAAATGTCAGTGTCTTAAAAGCGCTCTCGGTGTCGTCTGCGATTAATACATGGCTGGGGCACTTGCATATATATATATATATATATATATATATATATATATATATAGGTAGTAATCCGTTGGTATATAATCCAAATGAATACTATTAACACAATATTAAATATTAAAATTGATATACACATAGGGCTAAA